ACAATAAAAAAAAACATAAGAAATAATCCCAACATTCATGGTCTAAGTTCTAATTCCAACATTCATTCACCATGTTCCAACATGATTAAGTCTAACAACCAAATAATAACAATGCCGATGCCGGAGATAATTTATACTTGTGAGATTTGAGAACCCTACGATGTCGGACGAACAAGAACTGTACGGGTGGAGTGACTGAATTGGAGATCGCAATCATGTGAGAAGGTAAAGGAGGCGCACTGGACGATTTGAGAAAGTGAAGCCGTGAAGGAGGTGACGAGCACTTGGGCAGTATTTCTCATAAATTTGGGGCATTTTATTTTTGCTTTTTTTTATTTAAACATTAAACACTGAACAGCTAAGCCCTTATGCCAATTTTTATTTAATTTTTATCCTTATCGGTTCGGTAATAAGGGCTCAGACCCGATTCTGAACCCATAGTAGTTCGATAACCAATACTCGATTACCATTACAAGCGATCTAGTACAGTTGGTTTATTTTCTTGTTGGATTGGTTTGGTTTTATATTTTAGTAAAAAATACAAGCACTAATACAAAGAAGCAGTGTGCCAAATACCACGCTCGGTGTGCTAAGAAAGGTACAATGCTGAATTTGGTTTGTTCTGAGGTTAGTTTAATGTCGGTTCTTGGACACGTGTGGTGGATAGATTCTAATGCCATAAGTCACATCAGTTTTTCCATGCAAGGTTATCTCCATTGCCGAAAACCAAGTGATGGTGAAAGATAAATCTATGCGGGTGACAACAAGACAATTGAAGTTAAATCAATAGAAAGATTTAGATTATTGTTAAAGACTGGATATTATTTTGATCTCGATGAGACAATTTTTGTTTCGTCTTTTATACGTAATTTGATTACTATTTCTATTTTGGACAAATTCAGTTATTCTTGTTCATTTGGAAGTAGAAAGTCCATTTTGTTTCATGATTCAAAATTGATTAGTTCTGGTTCTTTATCAGGTTATGATAATATTTATTTATTGGATATTATTGTTTCATGCAAAGGATTTTTGAATTGGAATACACATGGTGTGAAATAAAATTAACCAGTGAGAATTCAGCTGCGTTGTGGCACAAGAGATTAGGTCATATCTCCAAACGAAATTCTTGATCCCTCAGATTTTGCACATTTTGACATTTGTGTCGGAAAACAAATCAATAAAAGAATATTTGAAACCAATAGGACTTTGGACGTCTTAGAACTTATACATAAATTAAAATTCTTCTGATGCCCGTTTTGCACAAGATTATGATGCTTGTCGTTAAGGTTAGACCTCTTTTTATTACAATTGTCGACCTGGTCAGTTTTGTCATTGTATATTACGATGACGTAAATTGTATATATCTACTCATATGTTATGGAGACGTAAATTATATACTTCTATTTATATGTTTTATACACAATTACTTGTTATAAACCAAGTATAAACTGAATTCTGGTTGAGCAAAACAACAAAATTCTTATACGGTTTTTAAATTTTAGACGGTATTGTATGGCTCTTGAAATATACTAATGTTGTATAATTTCTTTAACACGGAACGTCGAAGTAAACATAAGTAAATATATGGCGATTCTTCCACATAATGTAACTCATATTTTGTGAACCATTTATAACAGTGTTGTAATACCACAAAAGAAATCTAATAGATCATAGTTTACGTCACATATATAACTCCAATGTATAAACAATTATTAAACGTCACCTAAACAATGATTTGAAAAAAAAAATTAAACTTTTCCTGGTCAAATCTAATCCAGAACCTGAACTATGACCCGAAACAGCGGTCATGACCCTCTTCTCTGTATCCACAAGCTCATAACGAAGCTTCTCGGCCTCTCCGACCATCACCACCTTGTGCTTCTCCATAGCTCGGCCGATCTAGAAGTTTGTGCATGAATCTCACGTACGAACTCAATCGCCTCCCTTCCCTGTTGGATCCCCATCAAAATTTCCCATCGACCCTTGCGCTCAGCTAGAAGCTCATCGATTGCGGCCCGGACGCGGCTCAGATCGCCGGTGAGCCTGCCAAGGGGTCTGGCCTCAACCTCGATCTTGTGGAGCAGTCATAGACCACGTGATCGGGTGGTGGCGGCCAATGCGCGGTGGGCGGTGCAGCCTGCTTGAGGGCGAAGGCGTGCTGCAGGTTTCCCTTTACAATGTTCGAGTGGATTTTTTTTTTTTTTTTTTTCTCTTTTTTTCAATATTATGGTTTTGCCATCAGTTATGGAAGATGAGTAAAACATACCATTTTTAACTAGTTGTTTAATCATTTAGTAATTCTTTAAATATATATTTTCATTTAGGTAGATGTGCAAAAGTTTTTATGTTAGATTTTTGCAATATTTTAGGAATCAACATAATATGTATGCAAGTCTTAAAAAAGCAATTTCTATAAAAAAAATAATAAAAAAACATGTGGACAAAAAAAAAAGAAAAAAAAAAGAGTGGACATATATCAAAACCACGTATTCAATGAATACGTTTTCTGTACAATTTGTGTAGAAAACGTATTCAAGGAATACGTTTTTTCAGAATTTTTTATAAAAGAAACCGTATTCCTTGAATACATTTTACAATTAAAAAAGGGGTAAAACGTATTCACTAAATACGGAGTTTTTATTTTGGTCCACTTTCATTTGATTGTGTCTTTTTTTTTCCACAACTTAATTTTTTTTAAATTTTCTGGTAAAAAATTCTAAAATTTATGTTATTGGGCTTTAAAGCATCGATAGAGCTGGAGACTTTAATGTGTAAAAACTAATGGACTGTCTCTATTTTAATGATGGGCTAAAATATAAATGTCCAGTATAACTTTGTTTATATAAAGAAAAAATTATATCCTGCACTAGAAAATTCAAACTTATTTCCGCAAATAATTCCCTTGTATATTTATTAGCATATAAACCAACATTAGCAAAAATAATTGCAGTTTTACTAGAACCCTATTCAGATCTCATATCTTGACTTAATTAATAAATTTAATACCTAATGAATGGTATGATTTCATTAAGAAAAAACGGTTCTCGATGTATATGGTATGAGAATTATCCCACTACCCAAAAAACCACCCACTAATTTCTTTTCTCTTCTATTCTTCTACACTTCATATCTTTTCTTCCTAACAAAAATATTCTGCACAACCCTAAGAAATCATACACTTCAGAAAATGGCAAAAACAAAGATTGTACACAAACATAAGTACATAACATATACAAGAGTACATACAGACTATATACAGATTCATTAAGTACAGAACATATACATATTATATATATAAAAGGTACATAATATATACATATTATACACAAACATATATACAGATTATATGCAGTCTATGTAAATATAGAACATATACATATTATACCCAACAAATATGCATAACATATACAAATCATACACAAACACATTCTCTGAGTATATGCAATTTCAGATATTACAGAACATATTATATACAACACATATACATAACATATAATATATAAATATTATACACAAACATATCTACAGATTATATGCAGTCTCAGTAAATATAGAACATATACATATTATACCCAACAAATATGCATAACATATACAAATTATACACTAACACATTCTCTGAGTATATGCAATTTCAGATATTACAGAACATATTATATACAACACATATACATAACATATACATAAGATGATCGTGTATAAGCTGTATATCTTGTCGTGAAGTTCCGGTATTTTTTGAGGTAGATGATGTTCTTGAATTTCATATTTTATTTCCTTGTTCACTGATATAAAAAAGCTTCCTAAGAAATAGGTTATATCCACTTTCCTTTTCTTTCCCAACTGATTTACTGCTCTGCGTGATTGTAAGAAGGTGGGATTCCATTGAATCCGACCGTTTTGAATTCATTACAAAATAAATGCACTTCAATTTGGTAACCATGCTAATAAGATATGGGATCTGGTATACTTGCAAAATATGTATATTCTTGTGGTATTCAAAAAATTTCGCCTTATATAAAGAGTTGTGGTGCCTAGGTCATACGTATCATCGTACTCTACTGTATCCCATTGACAGAGATCTTACGGGGAAAGCTAAAGAGTTCTCCGAATGAATCACGTATGTACTTAGAAGGCTAAATCCCCAAATGAATCACCTATGAATTTAAATACACTTCTGTTGTTCAGTTATGGTCCTCGATTATCTGATATGAAGGCTTCTGGGCTTTTTTTTTTTTTTTTTTTTNNNTTTTTTTTGTTCGAAAGCGATAGAATATTATATAACCACTCAAAGGGATCAAAGATCGAAAACAATGTACGGACGGACTCCGAATAAACGAAAATGAGATGACACGCTAAAAGCGGCCTAAAAACCCAGCTAGCCAAGCTAGAATAAAACAAAACTCAAACATAACCGACACAAAACACTAGAAACAAAACACTAGAAACACTATAATAAAAGGCTTCTCGATTAAAACGACAGTTTTCGCCCAAAATTAGTTCCAACAAAAATTACTATAATAATTAAATATAAAGTAACTCAACACTTCGATAATAAAATAATAAGTAATAACAAAGCTTATTAGGCCTCATTGAGCCTAACAAGCCGAGCGTGTTCTCTTAATGTATTTTAGAATTATTGATAAGTTATAAACTAGTTTATCAACTAGTGTTACCAAAATAGCCAAAAGCAATTGTACTTCCTTCCAAATTCCAAAACTACTAAAAAAATATCTAACATCTTAACAGTTTCAAAGATGTCTCACAATACGAAAGAACTCATACAAATAGTCAAATACACTCAGGCAGTAACAGAAAGCGTGGACACTTTATACAGGTTACATAAAATCAAAAGAAGCATCTGCTAAGCCGTTGCGTTGAATTTTTCCAGAATCGAATTATAAACTTAAAGAGTTGGCTTAATTAAATTTGTACACTTGAAAGGAGCAGACAGTGTGATGAGTTGAAGGACAATGCAGCAAATAATATTAGTGATAGTTATGTCAATCATCTTCAAGCCTCACAATTCTTGGTATTTGGTTATAGTTCGCGAAATCAATCTTGTTCAATCTCACACACGCGAGAACCTCCTCTGGTAGTTCTTCCGGCTTTTGCGCCTGTTTCGTTAACAAACCGAGACAAGGTTTATTTCAATAATTTATAAATCCAAAACATAAAGGTTTTTTGTGGTGTTTATATTATGTCGCAACAAACGTTATAAAGCTATGAAAAACTTGAAGAATACTTTCAAGTATTTGTGGTTTTGAGTGGTGATAACTTGGTATTTTCTTTGTCAGAACACACACATACTATGATACAATAATATGCTTCTCAAATTTCAATTGAGGAGAGGTACCCCATTTTGAACTATTAGGGTGAAAAGATAAATTAGAAATGTTTTTCAAACCTGAATTGTCAAGCCGAGATCGAGAATTCCATTGCCTAAACGTTCACGGAAGGCTTCGAGCCCCTTTCTTGCTATGTAGCTAAACCGGTGAATGTCAAGATCAATCTCGAAGTAACCGGGACCCTGAATTTTGCATGAATGAAAGGATTTATAAATATCAGAATTAAAATCAGTTCATAATGCAAACATTGTTTAGAAAATACAAGTTCAACTGGAAAACAGTGGTGGAACATTTGGTTAATGATAAATTAGCCTCAAAGGTTTCATGTACTTGAAGCAAAAAATTTGACCAAAGTTTCAACAAATGTAAAGATTATGTTCCCATAATCAAAAATTTCAAAACAATTTCCCCATACATTCAAGAGTTTTATTTATTTTTTCATTCTCACTTTACATCTCTTGGGTGAAAATTTATATATCATCTTTGGCTTAAAGCAAAACTTGTCACCTCATAGAAGTCGTGCTGAGGTCGGGAAAGGACTGGCTTTTCATTGTACGCAGCTAAAAGCTTTCTCTCTGTGACAGTCGAGGCGAGGTCGTCTGGATTTACCACCCCAACCATGATTTTTAACCTCTCCCGAAAGGACACAAAAGAACTTTTTGTATACCCTTTCACGTTTTCCATCTCATCATCCACAAACTTCTGTAAACAAAAAACATTCGCTTTTGTAAGACATTTACATTTTTTTTTTTCGAAAGTTAAAGTCGATAAGGGGCTCCTAGTTTTTTCATAACTTATTTTACGTAACCTTCAACATTTGCTGATTGAGATACGATTCGATTATTCAAATTCATAAAATCTAAAAGGCGACAAATTGTAAAGAGATGGACTCATGCGAATATAATCCACACACCTTTATACTGTCTTGAAAGTGGGGAGATACATCAGTCTCGAAAGTATTAGAGAGCTTAAAGTAAAGGACGAGGCTCAAGCCCTCCCCATCACCATCACCAAGAAACATTGGAGGTGTATAAGTGGGAAGCTGCAAAACATAAATAAAAGAAAAAATTATTTGATTAGAAGAAAAAATTATTTCACTACTTTGAAAATTGATTGGCATGAATAAATATCATCATATGTACAATAATGGCCTAAAAAAAAGAAATTACCTGAATGTTGACAATTAGAAGAGAAGGTGCTTTTTCATTTTCTTCCAAGGGAGGAAGGTCAAGGTGTTGAGCAATGTGGTTGATCTTTCTTGGACTAGCAAATAAATCAACACCGATTGGAGTGTAAGGAGAGACGTTAGGAGCAGGAGACTTCTTCTTATCTCTGCAATACGGAGCAAAAAAAATTAGGCAAACAGAAACACTAAAAACAGGAAAGCATCTGAAAAGAAACTTTCGTTCTTTTTTTTTTTTAAGGTTATTACGAAAAGGGACAAAAAGATATACCTGAAGTAGCTCTCTCCACGAAGTTTGAAGGTCGAAGGCTCTATCACGGACCAAGTGCCAGGTGTTGGTTTCCCATTGGTCGAGCATGGGATGAGTAGGCCAGCTCTAGGACGGTAAAGATACTGTGTCGACGTACCTGGATTGACAACAACACTCTACTTTTAATCATTCAAGAGGGTTAAAACAATGAATTCATAGGAAAACACTACACTAATGTTTCAAAAATTATAATGATAATGACCCTTAAGACTTTTATTTATCTGAAGGGATAATCACAAAAGGTTAATTTTGAGAGTTGGTTATGAGCAAGAAAACCCCAAAACTTCGAATGAGTTGGAGTAATTGGGATTTGTAACTAAAATGTCTTCTCAATAGCATAAGGGAAGCTGTGTTTGAAAGATTTTTTTCTTATGTACGAGGGATATGTAAAACTGAGTCAAAATCTCAATTGTTTTGCTGAGTTTCTTGTATATTTTTTTTTAATGCACCACACTTAAGATGTGAATTATGTGATCCCTTTTTCCGAACAAGCACCCATCCGAATGAAGGGTTGTAAAGTAGAAACAAATGCGAGGAGTTCATTTTAAAAGTTCCTAATTGTAATGAGATTAAGAAAAACTTCAAAATAATTCCCCAAGCATCCTCGAGCACAATGAAACGAAGACCACATTGATATATCATTACCATGCACACAATAAACTTCTTTCTTTCTTTCAAGAAAATACTTACGAAATTCTTTTATTTCGTTTTCCTCGACAGATTTTCCCGTGATAGAGAGCCTTATCACCGTGGACGGCTTCTTCTGGGACTGTGGGTCCCAGCTCATGGTTGAGAAGATCTTGTCATTGAAGCTCAAGGATGGGACTTTATGAGGCAAGACGGACTTGAACAGGGTACCTTGATTCACTTCCTCAACAGAACTCTTTTCAACCCTCATGCCATTAAAGCTTAAAAAGACTTTGTCGAGTTTTTTCTTTTCCTCCTTCATTACAAGGCTTGGGAGCTCTTTCTGTTGTGCGTCTGTTAACAAGAAACTGTTGGGATCCGAGACCCGGTCTTTGCTCAAGAAGATCTCCCCCGTTTGGTTGTTGTCGATTTTCAGGTACTTTTCATGGTACTCCTTGAAATTACACTTGTTGTCCATAAAGCATGACGAGGTTTCGTATTGGAGCACTTGCCCAGTTGCAATATCGGGAAATAAATCTACATGATAAGATCATAAGTAACTGGCGGTGTCATCTTTCAACTAATTATCAAGCCGCAGATTCTGTATGTGCACCAAACAGTTCCAACAACAACAAGAAAAAAGAAAAGAAAAAAGTCAAAAAATATATATATATATATATAGGTTGTGAAGATGGTTACCTCCATGTACACTTATAAAATCGTCATCAACGTCAGAGTCGAGTATGCTAAGCGTGTCAAACCATGATTCTTCCTGGTAAATTCCTGTTAACCAAAAAAAAAAAAAAAAAACAATGTACATAACCAATACCCACAAGTTCCAGTTAGATCACTGATGTTATAAACACACAAGATAACAAAAATAAAGAAATAAAAAAGGAAAATGACATACCATTGGAATCAATCTGCCACTGCAACTGAGTGAGATGGAAGGTAGAGTTTGAGACGGCTGAGCGCCTGCAAGTAGTTGTCGTGGTGTGAACATATTCGGTCATGGCCACACGTCCCACATCACTATTCCCTTTCCTATTCCCATCGCTGAGGTGGCGCTTCTTGGCCCGTCCGACCCGCTTTCTCCTCACTTTTATCGTCTTTGAAGACGGTCTCGTTGCTATGTATGGAGACGATACGCAGGCGCCCATCCTTTGTTGCAACTCTATACTCTGAAAAATTTAAATCTCTGCCAACAAATCGGAAAAACTGAAGAATTAGAGTGTCACAGTCTTTTTTTCTCTTAATAATCACATAATCACAAGTGAGTAGCATTCTTAAAGGCCACCACACCTTATAGCATGGATTGAAGGAGTAACTGATTTCAAGTTGCAACAATTGAGCTACCCGGCCAGCCGGCCCAAACGATTACTTGTTACGAATAATGCAAGAATTGCTTCTTTTTTTTTTTCTTCTTCTTCTTTCTAGTAAAAAATTTTCAGCTCAAAGATTCATATTTCTGCACATCCCCAACTGCAAATACATCATTTTTTCTTCAAATTTAGCAAGTATAAAAGAGACAAAACAAAATATTACAAACTCTATAACCTATTACAGTTCAATACAATTGCATAGAACATTGCAGATGAGACTTGAATAATATTCACTTGTAAAGAAAGATCATTTAAAAAAAAAAAAAATAGACATATATGATTTAGGGAAATGCTAAGGTCCTGTTACAGAATCATTCCGTCAAGGTTTGTAACCGTTAGATCATCATGTAATCGTCATAGATAGTTGATCTAACGGTTACAAACCTCGACGGAAAGGTTCCGTAACGGACCGTAGCATCTTCCTATGATTTATATGGGTTCCAATCAATAACAATACAATACAAACCCAATTTTGATTATTGATCAATGCAATGCATACTAAACAGGAAAAAAAATTTATAAATAAATCCCTAATTGCATATCACACAAGATCACAAGAATCAAATAAAATGAAAACAAATAGAAAAACTATTTATACAATGCATTATCACCTAAAGAAAGCAATAATAACAAGAAAACTGTTATTATTTCATCAAGAACCTAAAAACAAAAAGGAATTCCACAGCAAAGTTCATGAAAACAATACAAAATTGTATGAAATGCAAAGCTAAGTACATTGTATGCTTGATTTTAACAAAGAAAATTACCCCTTCAAGACAACCATAAAATATATATATATATAATATATATATTAAAATATATATTAAAAATAAATAAAGAACAAAGTTTTACCAGAAAGGAAACAAGTGGATTCAATGGTTATGGGTCTAATGGGTCTAATTTCGCAATTTCAACGTTGTTTTTTTTATCCCTCTTTCTATAGGCAATAGAAAGAGGACGAGAAATATAGAAAAAAGATTAAAAAAAAATGACCAATGTTATTTACTGTGTTAAAACTGGTGTGTTTCCCCTTCTTTCGCGTTAATATGATAGGTGGTGGTTTTTAAGCCGTTTTGCTTATTAAAAAAAAAAATAAATATATCCCAAATGTTTTACCCCTTTCATTTTCCCTTAATCTTCTCTTTCTCTCATTTTTTTTTTTCTTTTCCAATTGATTATCATTATGATTAGTAGTGTTAAGGATGGACTATTTATTTTTAAGTTTAAATTTTTTTATTATCGGTTATCCTTCCACCACTATTGATATTAGGGAATTGATTTGCCAGTTTCATGAAAATTTATACTGTTTTCTATATTGTTTGTGGTTTGGACCACTGGATGTTTTTTTACTTCTATTCATAATAATTTGGATGAGTTTACGAGTTACATACATGAACCTGCGACTATGAATGTCTTTGTATTTTCAATGGTTAAGATCGTCTACCTCTGCATCGCTGCATCTCTATTGCAGGTATTGAAGTTGAATCTAACGGATCTACTGCCGGATAGATATCTTTGAGAGGGTAGAAAATCTTTTGACACCATATTTATGGTGAATGGCAAACAAGCCATTAGGATTTGAGTAATTGATGAGACACTTGATTGATGGCATTGGGCTTTATTTATCCTCCTGGGCAAGCGATCAATCAAGTCAAGAGCGCTGCTAGCGAGAAACGGAGTGGGGGTGTAAATGACTTTATCCCAGCACATGACGGTTGGGTGGTTAGGACACCCCATCTTTCGAGATAAAGAAGGGCGGGAGATTTTTGTACGTCGTATGCCTACTTTTGAAATTTAAGCAGAACGAACGAAGCTATAATTCTTTCCCACCGACACTTCTCTTCTGGCTTGATTTTAGGCTTCAAGTAGGGCCCATGTAATGCCTTCGACAAAATTTCACGCCAATTTAAGTTAGAGGGTTCTTCATAAAGTATAGCCACTAGGTCTCATTTCCTTTACTCAGGCCTATCCCCTGACGATGTAATGTACTTTATCCGTTGGTTCCTCTTCGATCCCATCCTATGACCCTGCGAGCTCACGAGTCGTCAGTGATGGTCAGTCACTTGGAGGATTTTATCGATCGGTCTGAACTAACCGGAATGCAACGATGAAAGGCAAAGACTAGCAACTGCTTCTTAATCCCCCAAAATGCTCAAGAAACATAAAAGTCGCTAGGATAGGCGGTATTATTGAAGCAGACAAAACAACAACAGCCAGACACCTGCCTATTCAACACTGGCTATCTCGTTCGATAGGAACCAAATTAGATGGATTCCCCGGTTCACAATCAAGAGGACCGTCATCTCCTTTCCTTATCAGCTATAGATAGGGACAGAGTGACAACAAACATAAACAAAAGTACGATACAATTGACGAGGGTAAGGCATTCCGCCCAACCTCTAAAGGGGTGGTATTAACAACATCACTTATTATATGCATTATATTAATTTCATGGTTCTCGTCTTTGATCAACGTATACTCGATAGTTTATACAAGTCGTCGTCCCTATCATTTTTCATCAGGTTCCTCCGGTTGAAGATCTCGACCCGACTCGCGATCCTCCGCCTCATTGCTTTGGAGATTTTTATTCTTTGAAACTTTGCGGATTCAAGATGTTGAAAACCTCCTTCACATGTTTTTGGTACAACGTTCCTGAGAGAACAACCTTTCTGGGGATTACATGAAAAGTTGATAATTGAGAAGAAACTGGAAAAATGTATAAATAATTGAAAGAAGCTTGTTTGTCCCATTTTTGTTGCGCATTTCGTTTTTGTTTAGTCTTTCTTTTTCCCCTGTCTTAGGTCTTTTCGTCGGTTTTAGCTCTTTCTAGTGTTTATTGTGTGTTTCACTCAATTTTGGCTTTCTATGTGTCTTTTGTGTGTTTTTTCGATTTTTTTTCATTTTTGGTATGCAAGTCGAAAGCCTCGGGAGGACCGGACGCAGTCCAGTTATTCAGTAGTGGAAGAATTCCATGACATTTTTTGAATCTACACTAAAAATTTCCCTGTTGGAAAAATTCATGTTCCATACGCATCCTTATAAGGCAAGAAAGGACGTTCCAATGCAAGGAGTAACCACCGGAGATAGGGAGAGGAGCTAGCCCGTATCAGGTACATGTCACACACCATTAGCCCTACACTACTGGGCTCGTTCTTAGGGTTTTTTATCTCTCATTGGGCAGAAATTGACCATGCAAGCATAATTAAGTAGCAGAATTTGTTAGGGACAAGCAGGAAAAAACAGAACTCAATTCCAAGTTCGAACGAGTCCAAATGAGCCCAAGGCACTAAGTCGTGCACGGAAGCCACCATCCCCAGGCCCAGCGCCACCAGCGCGCCGCGCCGCCTCACATGCCTCGACCCCGACAGAGATGACCAGACTTTCTCAGCGTTGTGCTGTGCTACCCTCCGCGCCATGGCATCCCACTGCTCCGCACACGCGGCATTCCCCCGCGCCGCAACGACCCACGCTCAGGCCTACTCCTCCGTGCCGTGCTGCTCTGTCGCGCCGCGACCCAGTTCCCTCTGTGCCGTGCTGCCCTGCTGCGCCGCGGCAGCGACCCTATGCGTCATATCTCACCCTGCTTCACACCGTGCACCATGTTTCCTATAAATACACGTACGGGGCCTCTATAAGATTAACTCTCCTTCCGGGGTGAAAACCCTAGAGCAGATAAAAACACCACAGCTCATTCCTTCTTTTTTTTTTCTTCTCTTCTTCATCTTCTTCTTCTATTTTTCTTCTTCTTCATAGTATTTAAGGATTAAGCTTGTATTTTTAATTCAACACTTGGAATTGGATTGATTATAAGTTCTTCTCTCTTATTTAATTCATGAAAATGGTTGATTTGGGAGAGATGAATTATTGTGTTGAATTTACTTTACGTAGCTAATTCCAATTGCCAGGGATAGGGGATGATTGTTCTTGTTTAATTTGTATTTGCCAGGCTATGATTTGTTCGTTCTTGTGCAAGTTAATTTGATTAGGAATTGATGAGTTCTTGTTTGATTGATTGATATAATTGAAGAGCGACACTTCGATCTTGAAATTGGAAACGATTGAATGTTAATTTGTCGAGTTAGGGTTTGTTAATTCTATATGATTAGTTGATTAATACTCTTCTAATTTGATTAGCGACTTTTAGAACCGAAAGGGGAGAAGTCGTAGACCTAGGCTCGCATGAGATAGATAATTTCGTAATTAAATAGTCTATAGGTTTTGGATTGAAGTACATGCTCGTCGATGACCCTTCCCTTGTTATGAAAAGTTATTGGGATTGGATAATTGGCAGTGTTATATGCTCGAACTTGCTCGTCTATGTTCAATCCCT